TTCTAACAGTGAGTCACAGTCAACATGCTGTTTATTTAGTGTCCCAAAGCAGAGATCCTGGCAGTCCCTTCCGCTATGTATACAAGCATCCTTTCACGATGAGATCACCAAAATTCGTACAATGAATTGCCTTCTGGCTATTGGCACAGGCTATTTATAAAGCGTGAATGGACATTATTTAGACCTGGGTTTCATTTCCAAGATGCCATTTTGTATGCATATGTATGTATATGTTTATATACATATACGTGTTTATATATACATATGTGCATTTGAATGTTCCAACTTTGTAAAAATACGTATTTAAAAGTAGAATATTGTTAGAGTTGAAAGCAAACAGAAAGAGAAGCAGAGTCCTCCATCCCCCACTGGCTCACTCCCGAATGGCTTGCAGCAGCCAGGCCAGCAGATCCAGCACGGTTTGATGTGTAGATTGCAGGGACCCAGCTGCTTGTCCAGCATCTGGATATTTCCAGGAACAGTCACAGGAAGCTGCGAGTGAAGCTTGCGGATATTCCAAGCAGTGGCTTGACCAACTTCCATGTCACAAAACCCACCATCTCCAAAATCTGGAAAACTAAAACACGTCCAGCCTCAAGTTTCACATAAGAGAAAGCAGAAGTCAGGCAGATGACTAACAAAGGAATAGAAAAATCAGACGTTGTTGCCCACAGGTAAAGGGTAATAAAGCATTGTATGAATGATTTTACATAAATACCCTCAAATTTTCGATGTAAAAGGTACAAAATCGCAACTTAGCAAGTTTAACAAAATAAGAAATTTAAAATCCTAAAATTCTCCTATTCATTCATTTTGATTGAATATGTAACTTACTAAAAACCCAGGGCCAGATGTGTTGTCCGTGGCATCACCAGAAACATTCACCCAAGTGGTCCTCACGTAAGCCATCCAGACAGACAGGCAGAGAGCGGGAAGAGAGGGCTGAGTCCACGCGGCCATTGTTGCAGTGAGACCCTTCACTGCTAGTAAGTCAAGCATGCGTTTTACTTCACATACTTTTACTGCTGGAAAATCAAGCGTATCTCTTTCCAGATCTAAGACGGTAAAGGAGAAATCATTTCTGACTACCTCAATAAGGCATCGAAGTGATTTGATCTCGTTCCGCTTTTGTTTTAGGTATGATTTCAAAACCCACCCATTACGATAAAAATTTTAGCTACCAAGCCATAGTGAGCAGCTCCTTCAATCTAAAGATGCGTGTCTATTGCAAGTCTCCACCAATCTATATTTAGGAATGAGACGTTGAAGATTATCCCACTGTTACGAAGAAGAAGATGTGAGTAGGAATTGCTCTAAGTTTAGAACAACTTTGTCCTGGATAACATTGCCCAGGACATTAAAGCAGAAAAAAAAAAAAGCATGGACTTTCTGACGCTAGAAAAAGAAAGGGTTAAAACTCATTGGTCATAGACTACCTGATTCTTTACGTAAAATTGCAACATTATCTACACATAAAATTTTGTAGTAAGAAAGGGAAGATTTCTGAGCATAAGGTTAATTTTACTGATTATTTGTGATTCTATGGAACATCTCTACAAATAACAAGAAAATGAAGTTTTAAAATGCTATCATTTGTATTTAACAAGTATTTGGAAAAATTCAACAAGCATTTGAAGACAAAAATTAAGAAAGATGTAAGGGGACTGTGACATAGTAGATTTCAAAGGTCAGTATTATAAAGATTCTCAATATTTATGAATTCAAGGCAGTTTCGGTAGAGATCCAACGCAGGGCCTTTGTCTGCTTTATTTTTGCTTTGGGAGGAAGGCATGAGGAAATCTACAAAACGTCATAAATATTACAGATAAATGTGGAGGACAAGGATAAGAGACAGCACGTTTAACTCAAAGTGAGTGTGTATTTGATTGCATGTTAATATTTTTTTAAAGTGGACTTATTTTTATTTGGGAACAGAGTTGCGTAGTGAAGGAGAGACAGACAAAGAGAGAGAGATCTTCCATCCACTGGTTCAATTCCCAAATGGTGACAAGGACCTGAACTGAGCGGATGACAAGTCAGGATCCAGGGGATTCTTTTGGGTCTCCCATGTGGGTTCAAGGGCCCAAGGACTTTTCTTTTCAAGGGTTAAGGATCAGGGGAAAGTGGGCCAGACCATTGTTTATACATTTTCTTTTTCTTCTTCCTGTATCTGGGGGAGAGGGAATATGAGGGCGTAAACTCTGCCCAGCCTCCCAGCTGCCTCCGTACCCCAGATGAGGAAGTTGGAGCTGTGAAAATAGTGTCTGCTGCACCACAGACTAAGAAGTAGTGACATCCAACAAGGAGTCGATCAGCTGATACAAACATGCATGGCTACATGGCCATGGGACAGCTGGAGATGCAGGACAAGTTTAATATGTGACTACAAGTTTCAGTTAAAGGACTGCAGCTGGCTGCAGCTCCTGTGATTGCAAGTGGACTGGACCCCGAACATCTTGAGAAAGTTGCCAGGAATCACTCTTATTTGCTCCCTGGCTCAACCCTTCTGATGGGGAAGTAGCAGATCACTTGGGAGGAAAACATGCGAGGGTGTCGTTATTTTAATTCCTCTTTGAAAAATGAAATCTGTTCTGTATTCACAAAACAATTAAAATCTTCTCCATCTCAAATTATAACCAAGGTTGAATTGCAAATCTACTGTATGTTGGTGATTAGAAAAATGGGTTTTTACCCCTTGTGATGGGTAACATTTTCTTCTACAACACAAATATTCTACCATACACATAAGGACAAATAAATTAGACTTCTATTATAAAAGTGTGATTTTCAGTTCATAAAATGGTGACATTAACAATGGGAAGCCTCAGAGCAGAGAGTGGGAGCGCATACAATGTAGCACAGGCCCTAAAGAGGAACAGATGTAAACCAGGAAAAAATTACAAATAACCCTAAAGAAAATTGGACAAAAGCACTTAATTGTCATTTTAAAAAGAGACCACTTAAATGGCCAATAAATATGAAAGTTATCACCGTCTCACCTGGAATCAGAAAGCATTTAAGTCTTCTGGCAGGTCTAACATTATGTCTTTTCACCTATTTTTTTAATGTAAAATATATGAATTAACATAATTGTTATAGAAGAAAGGATGGAAATTCTGCAGACATCTGAAAATAAACCTATTACATGTTCCATGGTAAATACATCTCCTCCTTTACGTTTGAACATTTTAGGATTTGTTTCTTAGAAAAGATAGAATGTCAGTTAAATTGGCAAAATGTCTAGCCGTATAGAAGCAAAATTTTAAATTTATAAGTAATTTTATTCTAAGGTTGGAAAAGTAAGTAGATACCAACAGCACAAATACCATCATAGTTATCTGAAAAAGTTCTTGTGCAATTGTGCTTCAAGGTTGCCGGAGTCTTTACAGATGTGAGATTTCAGTCATTGGGATTCTTCAGGCGATTGTACAAACCCCTGCTTCCACTCTCGTGTTGTTACAGCTGGATGGGTCACCCCTGTTTGTTTCCAGTGGCACCTGCAACCGCTTCCCAACCTCCTCGTGCTGTGAGTCACCCAGGGACCCCTCGGTCCTCCTGCCTTCCTGAGCTCCCTGGCATAGGACCAACGCTCAAAGAAGTGACACACCAGGAAGCTCCAAGGGATTTTCACAAATAAACCTTTCTAATCTCTGGTGGTAGGGCAGTGAATGGGCCAGCACCTGTCAGCAGAGAAGAAGCAGCCTTTGTTTTCAACCCTCCCTTCTGCAGGTCTAGAAGGCGACCTAGAGGAACGGTGATCCGCGGTTTTCCTTGCTTTGTCTGCTTGGCTTGCCTCTTCCCTTCTCCTGCTGGCTTCCTTCTTTCCTTGTATCACTTCCTTCCTTCCTTTCTTCTTTACTTTTCTCTATCTGGAAGGGAGAAAGCAAGAGTGAGAGAGAGAGAGAAATGGAGACAGTGAGTGCCCACACTGGCTGGATCCTTTTCCAAATGTCTAAGGAGGTTTTGAGTGGGCTGGGCCACAGCCGGCATCTAAGGGACTCAATCCAGGTCCTGCGCATAGAGGTCAGAGATGCAGGGACTACTTCGGCCATCACTGTGGTCTAGCAGTGTGTGATGTAGCAGGAACTTGTAACTGGGAACATTCCAGGATGCTGTCCTCACTGCGTATCCACTTTCCTATGCTGGTCCCAGCACCCGTGGGTGGTGTGTACCACCTGACTTTCATAGCCAATGTGCAACCATAGCGGGATGATTCTTCCTTCAAAAACAGCTGTTTGACCAAACTCTTATGACCCGAACGGTGAGTCCCAAGTCATGAGTGATTTGTAGATTTCCTAATATTCGCTTTTTCTTATCTGCTCTTCGTTTCGCTCCCCAGCCTCTCTTTTGCTGTTTATGATTTGATGGCCAATGATGCCGCACAATAAAGAATGTGAATAGGGCCCGGCGCGGTGGCGCAAGTGGTTAAAGGTCCTCACCTTGCACGCCCGGGATCCCATATGGGCGCCGGTTCTAATCCCGGCAGCCCCGCTTCCCTTCCAGCTCCCTGCCTGTGGCCCGGGAAAGCAGTCGAGGACGGCCCAAGGCTTTGGGACCCTGCACCCGTGTGGGAGGCCCGGAAGAGGCTCCTGGCTTCGGATCGGCATAGTATCGGCCGTTGCGCTCACTTGGGGAGTGAATCATCGGACGGAAGATCTTCCTCTCTGTCTCTCCTCTCTGTATATCCGCCTTTCCAATGAAAAAATAATAAAAAAATAAATCTTTAAGAATGTGAATAAACTGCAGCACTTGGTACCATTGCCTGGCTGAAAACACAATCTAATAAACTTTATTTCTACTATCTGGTATGCTTATTCGTTGATGAGCTGGTTTTCAGTTAACTTACAAAACTATCTCACGTATGGATTGCTTTGAAGAGAGTGAAGGGTCGGGAAGTTGTTTCCAAGAGAAACTTCAGTTTTAAAGCATCCGTGTGAAACTAGCTTCCACCCTGTTCATCTGTCATCTTCCACTCACGCTGGTTTTTTTTTTTCTTCCAGTTATGTTCCGCCTTTATGACACCGACAGGAATGGATTCCTCGACAGCTCGGTAATGTTTTTCATCAAGTTTTCTGTGAAAAATTTGAAAGCAGTTTCTTCTGAAAAAAAAAATGCACTGAATAAATTTATACCTATTACCACCCAAGGCACACTTAATTTGCATGCCCTTGTCCCGAATTCCTATCCTGTTTTAAAATGATCTTAGCAAACTGTTCTGATGAGCAGTGCTCTATTCAACCGACAAAAGCATGACTTTTCTTGTCCTGCTCTAAACGTGTGTAGCAGAGGAGCTCCAGTCGGGTCTGCACACCATGTAACAGGAACCTGAGACCAATGGTCTGGAGAGAAAGAAAAACCATTCATGAGATTGGATACTGAAAAAGATCCAGCAAATAGAAGCAGAATGGAAAGCAATTTTTCAGTTCATGTAATTATTATTTCACTAGGTTTTTAGCTGTGGTCTCTAACTGACTTGACAATGGAGTAAAAGAATGTTCGGATCTGTGGCCACCCTTTTTGAACATATAGGGTAGGCTGTCAGCAATGTTTTAACCCATGTTACCAATATTAAGTAATGAGCTCGGAACAAAGAGACGCGCTTATGGTTAAGCCGCTCTTCGTGGCGCATGATGGAAGTTATGAATAGGATTTGCCGGCGTTAGCACAAAAACTGCTGCCCTATAGATTTCTTTCAATATCAAGCTCAAAATGTGTGTTCTAAAGTCATCTGGTGCTTTTCAATCGCCACCGTTCGCCTACGGGAGGGAAACCAGAACATACATCATATGAGAACATGACCGCTATATCTGAACAAGAGGAGAGATCAATCGTGTCTAGCTTATCTTCTTCAAGGCAAGACAAATCCACAGGGGAACATGCTTGGACTCGGGGGCGGGGAGGTCTCTGCTGAGTGAGGTCGGCGCAGCCTTTGGAGCGACCCAGACTGAGTCTCCAAGAGGCTCCGTGATGTTTGCAATGGCACGCACCTGCTATCAGGCCAGCAGCACGTCTCTGTGCCGGCAATCCTTGACAATCCATGAAGGGACAGCTACGGCAGGTAACAGAAGCACACAGACACAGACAACACACACACACGTGATTGTACCAAATTTTAGCATTTGCTTATCACTAATAATTGATGTTTGTGTTGCTTTCTGAGCAACCTGTTTAGCCTCCGGAGCAAAATGAAGGCTGTACGTTTTTGGAGAGATGGGTTACAGCGTTAGCTCTCAGAGGAGTCCCAGACCCCCAAACAGCCTACGTTAAGAATACGTTCTCCTTTGCAGGAATATTGACCGCACTTACTACATCAGGCATTTGAGCCGAGGAATCCTCAATGAACACACTTTAAATGCTTCTTGCAATTTTAAATTATGAGGCACCCGTTTAACATCATATAACATCTATATTTAAAATGACAAGCATTTTACAAAACTGTTTCATTTTCTCTGAAGATAGATACAGGAAAATTCAAATATTCAATCTATACATATGAAATATTTTAATTTTTCTTAGCCAAGACATATGTATTTCACTAGCAGTTCTTCCACGAATTGACAAGTGAGCAGTATAATTTGAAAATTCAAGCTGAAACCCTATCCCCTCACAAAATAAACTTTGCTTCATCTCTGTGCCCTGAACATCCTTCTGGCACAACGAACAAGTCCAAAGGAAGTTCTAGAACAGTCCATATAGATTCTCGGTCCTCAGCTTATCAAAGTAAAAATAAGCCTTGAACACTTCTTGCCACCCCCGCCCCCTTTTCTGGCTCCAGGCCAAGGGGCAGGACATTGGGACTGGGCAAGCACCTGCAAGAGGCCAGGACGCCATGCCACTCTCTGCACGGTGCGACGGCGCCCTCTAGTGCTCAAGAGCTTTAGAGCAAGTGACAGGAACAGGATAGAATCTGGACCGTCCATTCAGTATAGTCAACCAGAACTTTAAGAGCCAATTCCTCCGTTTATCCACAAAAGACACTTTCAGAAAATATGTTTTAAAATGTGAATGGATTTAAAAGAGTTTATACCTAAACAAAAATCTTCAATCCCATTTCCTTGTACTTTTTGACAACCATTCTTCTAATGGCGTGTGTAAGAATGATTATATCATACTTATTTTGTGATTCATAAACGATGATGAGTTCTGTGTTGGACAAAAGAATGCCTGTAAAGTTTAAGAACTCACCAAGACCTTGTGTTCACACTCTGTGTGTGTGTGTGTCGCTCCCCCAGGAACTAGAGAACATCATCGGTCAAATGATGCACGTGGCGGAGTACCTGGAGTGGGACGTCACCGAACTAAACCCAGTAGGTATAGGAACAGTTTGACTCTTGGCTAAGTTCCGGGAGGCCTCTCTGTTAGTTGTGTTTCGGCAGACCTGCTTGCGTTACTCCCGTTTGACTGTAACCCCCCTGAGGACCCTATCATTCATTGCTCGTCAGAAGCGTAAGCTCCACCACATGAGAAGTCACAGATCGCGTCCCTTAGGAACTTCTGCATTCCCCCCGATGGGAGTTATTTTGAGTTGTGGTCTGGGATACTTGGGAGTGACAGAAGCCGCTGTTGGAGATGCCCTGGTCATGTCAGGCTGCCAAGTAGAGCATGAAAACGCTGCTATGCATGGTGCGTTGTGACAATGTGTCATTTCACACTTGCGGCCAACTGAAGTATCTGCTCGTCTCTGCATTTTAAAACTGAATAAATTAAGACCAAATATTCTTTTTTTCCTAAGATCTATTGGTTTTTATTCAAAAGGCAATTTTACAGACAAAAGGGGACACAGAGAGAAAGATCATCTGTCCACTGGTTTCCTCCCAGTGGAGGAGCTGAGCTGATCCGAAACCAGAAGCCAAGAGCCAGGGGCTTCTCCTGTGTCTCCCACACAGGTGCAGGGTCCCAAGGCTTTGGGTCATCAACCACTGCTTTCCCAGGCCACAAGCAGGGAGCTGCAGCAAAGTACAGCAGGGTCATCTTGCATGAGGGGAGGATTAGCCAATTAAACCATCACGCTGGCCCTGAGACCACATATTTTAAAGTTAATTGGTCAAAAGGCTGATGTGAGTTAAACATAAAGCAGGTATTTTAAGTGCAATTAATTCAGGAAATGATAACCACAATCCCTGTAATGACACAGAAGCTCTTTAGTTACAGCATGCTGACGTCACCATTTCAAGCTTGGTCAAATGTCTAACATACATGAGAAACTTTGTTCACAAGCATGAGTTAGGGGAAAGCTCATTAGAGCAATCAAACTCAATTTGTTTTGGAAAACACATTACGCAATGTGAACATGAAGAAAGCAAGTCAAACATCGATTTTATTTTACAAGTTTATATTTTCCATGAATTTCAGAAGCCTATTTTAACCTAACGTCCTTACTGATGCCATTAAATGGATGATAATGTCAGACAAGAGCTCTGATAACACTCCCCTTTCTTGATCAACTGAAGCTAAAGAGGTCCAAGCAAGTTCCACCAGAGGACCCTGTTTATAAGAGTGATGTGGACTCTCCCAATCTCAGCTCAGCAGCTTTGGGAGTGGGGTTCTTATTTTAGATGAGAATACACGTGCTGTGTGCACAGAGATGGGCAGGCAGCACTGAGAGCTGGCACGTGCCATGCTGAAGCAGGTGGTAGCAGCACTAAGCTTTCTGTGGCATTCAGCTTGTTCCTATCTTCCCTGAACTAGTTCTCACAAGTTCCGTGGCATATTTTTCTCTCCATTCATCGCAAACAGTTCCCCACCACCACCCCAGGCCACTCAGCGGTGACAATGGTGCATCCACCGATGGAGGCCGTTGTGTTTCCTGGTATCACAGAAAAGGGAAAGGGCTTTTTCTTATCAGCTTTTAAAGCAGATATGGACACGATGAGCCCCCAGCAACAGGTGTCTCTCAGGTGCGGGAGAAGTCTGTCAGCCTAAGCAGAGGAAGATGGGGAACCATTGGTGGCTGGACGGCGTAAACGTGCCCAGCACCTGCTGGAGGACACAAGGCGTAGACCAGGGCACCCCGTAAGTCAGCCATGCTTCTGGGGTCAAGATCACCGTCTTCCTGTGAATCCTGTGTTTGCTGTCGTGGTAACCACTGCATCTTGATGTCTGCACAGCTCTGCCCATGCTGGATAAAAATGCACATTGACAAATTCCTCTGTATAAGTAATAAAGAGAAGCAAATGCATGGGACAGGTTGTGATTTCCAGAGAAGACAGAGCTGTCCTCAGAAGGGGATTTTGTCAAACTAAAATTAGACTTATCAGGTGCTGCAGGAGAGTATCCGGAACCAGGCTTTATGTTTCAGCTCTCTTCCCTCATGTCTTTGTTGATCAAATTCCCCAGCATGAGCTCAAGGGGTAGGACATGTAACAGATTTTTACTACATTTTACCAATTCTACCTTATTTCTTCTATGCTGTAACTTGAGGATTAAGAAAATGCTCAATTAATTATTCCGACATTTTATTTTGCATCTTCCTTTCCAACACTCACAATTCAGACTGTGGCTATACTAATCTGATTTCCCAGTGACTCTCAAGAAAGACACCAAGCACGGTGGCGGGGGGCACAGACACTTTCCACGCAAAGGCCCAGCACAGCAGGCATTGCACCGGTTTCAATCTCTTTATATGTCTTTCTTGTGCCAACTTGGTTACAAGTTGCAAATGGTGTAAGCACAATGGATTTCCTGTCATTTCTGACCTTGGCTGCCATTCTAGCACCTTCGCATCGGAATGCTTTGCCTTCCTCGTGGCCAGGGGCAACATGGTCAAAGTTCATATACATTGCTCTCAATCACAAAATAATGATAGTATTTGCGCTAGGGGTCCCTCTGCTGGTCTCACAGAAGTCCTCAGATGGAGGGGACCTGTATTGCCACTATACACAGAAAAGTAAACATGCTACAAATAAACGCTAGAAAGACAATTCTAGACACTGTGTGTGGCAACCCTCAGGCAAAGTGTCTGGCTGTGCTCAGAGGCCCCCTCCTCTGCCTGGATGCTGCGTTTCCATGCTCCTCCCAGCCGCTAGCCCTAGCTTCCTCTGAAGATAGACTCTGAGAAGCAGTGGTGGTGGCTAGCACGACTGAGTCCCTGCCCTTTAGCCAGGAGACACGATGGCTTCCTGGACCGGGGCTTCTGACCGTGCTCAGCCCCGGTCACTGCAGGGGTACTCAGCGAACAGATGGGAGCGTCTCTTCTCTGCCTGTTTCTCCCTGCGTGTCTCTGTGCCTTTCAAAGAAGCATTTTTTTTCTCAAAGAAAAAAAAAGATATTTAATTAGAGATGATTAGATGATCTAACTTCTTGACTCTGTGGATTTCTCACAGGCAATTATTCCTTCATTCCTTCATTCCTTATACTTACAAAACAATTATTTAGTCTTTGCCATGAATTTTTAGTAAATTAAATAAAATACATTAAATATAAAAATTTATATAATAAAAAAAATATATATATATATATATCCCAGAGAAAGTACTTAGGGAAAAATTTCACTCTTAAATTTACCTTCTTATGTTAACTGTGTTGTTCATTGGAAAGATCAAACAGGTAAGTACCTACTTCTCTGATGAAGGTGAGCAGCTGGATCTGAGAACTGCTACTCTCTGGTGATGGGATTGACGGTGGGCTGCGTTAGCGGATGTTGTTCCGCAAGCCCCATGTAGCTGCCAGACAATCCAGAGGGGCTGTGCTATTCGATGTGTACTGCAGTGATTCGTTGCAAGTACCCCGTATCCTCCCACCGCCTTGCAGATTCTGCACGAAATGATGGAAGAGATTGACTACGACCATGACGGGACGGTGTCGCTAGAGGAATGGATCCAAGGAGGGATGACCACCATCCCCCTCCTCGTGCTCCTGGGATTGGAAAACGTGAGTGGGGAGACAGAGAAGGGGTGGGCGAGAGGACGGTGGGCTTGTCTGCCGCGTGCACTGCTTACGGATGCATCTGGACATCTCTGTTAACAGGGCAGTGAGCACCTGGAACTTCAGGAGTGGTAACAGGTGCACGGGGTGCATGTTGATAGTCCTTCCCTGCGAAGTGTCGCCACAGGCTGATTCACTGTAGATGTTGCCTTAGAGTTTGCTTCTTTTGCTTTCCTTTATTTCAAGTGCTTTTTGAAAAAGGATCGACTACCTTATGCAGGAAGCACCCCCTTTTGCCAAGAGGCATCACCCTGTGCCCCCTATGTTATTCTCTTCTTGCAGTCACCTGCTCTGTGAAAACAGTCTATTTATGAATAAACAATTCTTGGAAGAGACAAATATACATCCGAGGTCTATGAGAAAGGCAAGTTTTCCTACGTGTCAGCAGCTGGTCAGGTCAACCTAGGCTCACTCTGTGTTTGTAACAGTGACTTGGAAACACAATTGCCCAACGTTGAAGCAGATTTCCGTGATTTTTCATTGAAAAGTCAGTTGGATTGATAACTTAGCATGAAAGGGTGATGGAGAAGCCAGAATAGTGTGTGCACAGGAACGTGGAGGAGGCGAGCAAAGCGCTTGAACGGTGGAAGCAAGCATAGCATGTATAACCATCAGCATTTCAAGATGCAACGATGAGGCCACCACTTTGCTCCTGAACCCAGAACTTCCACACTTTCTGCCGCCAGCAAAGACACTAAGACTCAAGAAAACACTGCATTCCTTCAACAAATCCCATGTTGAAAAGTCAGTTCTTGAGACATGTTAGAGCCCAGGTTCGTAAGAATGAGTGCGTGTGAAGTTCTGCGTGAGTGTATGTGAGGAATTTGGGGAGACACACATGAGCTTTAAGAATCTATACAGCGGGTTAGGATTTACGCACGTGCAGCTTAGGAATAAGATAAACGGGCTCCAGCAGATCAGCGTGTATAGATTCATTTATCTAGTTCAGACTTAGTTTTCTCTTACCCTGCACAAGACACGGCAGTTCAGTTTCACAAGCATAGTTACACGAGTTACCTAAAGACAGGGGTTTAGGTAGTGGTTACCCCACAGCTTGTGACTCATACCTCCCCCCATAGCAAGGTGCCTCTGTTTGCGGCTGCGCTCAGCTCAGCTTCCAATTGCTACTTCCTGCCTTGTGCACTTGAGAAGCTGTGTTGACGGATCTTAGTCATTCATGCAGGTGACCTGGACCAAGCTCCTGTCATCATTTTCAGCCTGTCCCAGTCGCTCGCTCACTCCTCTCTCTCTCTCTCTTTTTTCCTCTCTCTCTGTCTCAACCACAATGCAGCTGAATAAAGTTAGAAGCGAATAAATATAAATGACATTAATTATAAATTACATTAATATAAACTACATTATACATATATAGACATTTCTGTACTTTAAAAATTAATGAAACAGTGTCTCTTTGTGCTCTTTTATGCCATTTATCTTCAGGTAGTTTTTTTGGTTAATTGTGCAATAGAACCTATGGCGGTGCGGGGGGGAGCTAACATGTAAACAGAGTATTGAGAAAAGAAATTAAAAGACAAATGGGTGAAAAGTTGACACAGGGAGGTTTAGCAGGCTTTGCCCCCCCCAACCCACCTCCCCGCACACACACACAAGGGTGGTCAGATAATTCTAGGCAGAAAGACCCAGTCGGCAGGATGCCCTGGAAGGGACGTGTGTATTTGAATGTGAAATTTGTATATTGTGAGAAGTTATGGAAATTTCAGGATGAGTCAGAGAAATGCAGACAATGTAAATAAACCGTGAACCTGCAGGCTTCACACCACGGAGATACTTCAAGAGAACGTTTTTCTTTGGATACTGTTTTTAAAGTCATTTGAATTTAATTTAGGACCACAAATACATATGAGGCTTTTAGCAATTATGGATATTTTAGTTCACAAATTACATGACTATAACCCTGAGTGTTTTAAACACATGAGAGCTCATTATTTTCTAGCAGAGCAACGAGGCTATTTCAATTTAATGAATATCTTCGCCTGCACACTCTGTTAATCATGTATAATTTTCCTCAAAATTCTGTTTACATTTTATGTTTTTAGTAAAAAGGAATTATTTGAATCTCCATAGGAAAAAAAGGAATTCAAAAATTTAAAGCTGTAAACCCTGTATCTCCACCCCTGGCCACTAGATGGCAGGGCTACCTTGTTGAACATTCGGGTTTTCTTAGCCGTGAAGGGTAATTCTAAAACAAGAAATTTCCTTATGGTGGAGAGAGGGACATTTAAGGAAAAAAAAAATGTTTTAAATTATCCAGTCGATTTTTGAGCTATAACGTACATTAAAACCCTGTAATCACGGATGGTAACTTAAAAAAAAAAAAAAACTTCCATTTGTTTTAAACTTGTTTGTTTTAATTCCGAGATAACGACAAGTGTTTTAAAAAGCAGAAGTGGCAACAGGATGAGTGAGCGATGAGGCCGGTCTTGGTAACTGAATTTATTTTGTTTCTGTGGGCAGTTAATATGCTAAATTACCACCTGCCGGGAAGGAAACCCAGGGTGCCTGCCTTATCTTTGGCTTGTTAATTTGGAAACCAAGCAGCCTGAGCTTGGGATTGGCCAGGCATTGTGAAGCTTATTTTGTTATGTTGCCCTGTATATTCTTGTCGCTTGTCAGCCAGGAGTTTGGGGAATTGGTTCTAATTGAGAGCGCATGTTCAAAGCCACAGTGGAGTGAACGCCACTGCGGTGCCCCCCCCCCCCCCCCGTGCCAAATTGCACAGAGATGAGTGGTGTCTGGGGAGAGTACAACCCCTCACTTGCAACATCAGCCTCAACAGTTACAAATCCATTGCAGGCTGCTTGTTTCCATCAGCCTCATAGGAAACATAACTCCATTGTCCATAACATCTTCTATGGATGCCCAGATCAACAATGCGGTGTGTGGGCACCCGGCTGTCGTCCCGCACGAGGAGAGAGGAATCGCTACTTTTCCGCCGAAACATTCAAAAGAAACTATTCAGCTGCGGAGTGGAGTCTGGTGGTCTCATACAACCAAAGCCACTTGCAGAGTTTGGAGAGCTTCGTAGTTTTGATTCCTGCAGCAAAAACCTCCGATTCTGAATCTGCGATTTGGGGTCATGGTGGATTTTTTTTTTTCCAGGACATTTATTTGATTTGTAGTCACATGAAAACCAGACTTAACGTTTAAACAGTCGCTGAGTTGGAAATGAGGGGATCTGAACTTCTCAGTGTGTCTTGAAGTGGTCACATCCCCCTGTATTTTTTTAACGAGTTTATGCGATCCTGACATGGGTGTGCTCAGAGGGTCCTCAAGTTCCCCTCCCACATCTATAACTTTGAGACAATTGGGACTACTCTTTTTTTTTTTTTTCTTGGCTTGACCCAACAAAGTATATTCTGTGTTGAAATCTTTGAGTGACAAAGAGATGTATTATTTTTCGGACTGATTCTGTGTAGAAAACTGCCATTTCTTACCTCAATTTTTAAAATGTGGATTTGGTAGAGAGGTTCTGTTCTACTGTTTATACACTGAGGAGAGTAAAGAGGAGTTTGAGCAATGGACGAAATGGTTCAAGGAAGATGATGCTGACCTAGGAGCTGCACAGGTGCAGTTGGTCCCTGGGAGGAGAGAACCCAAGCAGACCTAAGAACCTGTGTTTGGGATGCAGTCAGTCAAAGTTTTAAGTCTTCCCTGTGTTTTCTTTGCCTAGGTCCCTATCTTTATCTGTATCTTTTATGTTAATACTATTGTTATCATCACTTGGAAAAACTTGAACCCCCCTCAATAAACAAGCATAATTTATGGTCATTATTATTTAATGAACTGGGAGTAATTTACACCATTAGCTCTTCAACATGTCATAAGATAAAAACAAAAACAAATTAGGGAGTGAGGGGAACGACAGGTAAGCTGGGATGTCAGTGAAATCTCACCTTTGAAGCGTTTCCAAAGAAGAGGTTTTTGCTGGTCACGCTAGTTCACTTGGGTACTGCACAGACTTTGAAAGTGTTTAGGGAAACCCTTCGAGTTTGGAATTCTCCAAGATGGTCAACAATGTTGAAGTTGTAAAGGGCATTCTCCTGGATTCTGGGAAATCGAGAGATGGAACAATGTAGGGCTTCTTCCCAGCGCCAGGCAGTCTGGGGTCCACTGCAGGTTTCTGTCCTTCTTCACACGGAACATAGCTGTTTCTCTGTTTGACACTGTGTTCTACGCAGTGACAAAAGGGGGCAAGTGAACATTTCATGAAAGAAAGCCCAGTGAGGTCCACAAAGATCCTCAGTTCTCGCGAGAGAAGCGCTGGAGGTTCCACAGCTAAACCCAGGGAGAGCGACAGTAGCTGCTGTTTTTACAACACCAATCTTCCGAGGCGCTAAACGAACTTCACAGGTATTTCAGAATGAATCGTCCCACCACAGTCCAGGAAAGAAAAGTGGATACTTTGACTTTTGTTTGTTTGTTTGTTTAGATAGGAAGAACAAAAGAAAAAAATGAGATTGCTTGTTCATGTTTTTTGTAGTAGGCCAACACTCAAGCTTTCTGGATTTCCTATTAATTTCTCTTTTGTAACAATGGATTCCTTTCTTCGCAACGGAAGTGTCAATGGAAGTACGGTACACCAGTTGCTAGAATACAGAAAGGGACAGACTTCGTCTGCTCCACCAAGTTTAGAAATGTAAAGGAGACAAACCAGAGAAGCCATGAGAATACGGAGCTGGAGTCTCAATCCCTGCAGAGAGCTAGTTGGCCCCTGTCTTCGATTTTTTTCCCTTAAAGAAATCCTATACAGTTTCATCCTGTGCATATTTTGGCAGAGTATCCATCTAAGAGCCATACAGCTATTTAATTTGTTGTTTGGTAAAGCGTTTTCTGCCTGGATAATGGACTTGGACATCCGTGGTGGCCCGTAACACAGCTTGGGGTTCTGCCTGGCGGAACACCCGGGCTCAGATCTGTTTATTTTCTGATAAGGAAAATGCCAGCTAGCTTAGTCCACATGCGCTCTTCCACAAGATGAGGCTTATTCCCGCATAATGGATGATCATTTAACAATAAAAGGACAGAACCATGAGCACAAGTAATACATAGGAAAATTAGATTTTTTTTCCCTTTACTCCTTTTCTTCAGAATTTAATGGATTCTTTTTAAGACTATTGATTTTTTTTTTTTTGAAATAGAATCTTACATTTCAGCCTTTCACCCTAAGGTTTTACATTTTGCGTTTGAACAAATGTAAATTTCACAATATAGGTTGCTTAGAAAATATGGCAAAGTTGAACATATAAAATATTCTCTTCATAACAGAAAGCTACTCAAAACATTTTATGATTCACCCAAACCAGAACTGGATTTGGGTGTTACTGCAGAAGCTGTTTCTAATGTGTGGGAAGAGAATGGGAACCCCTGTGATGTGAGCTGCTTTTGTTGGACACTCATTTAGTCCCTTGTCAATAGAGCAAATCCAGCCACCGCCAAGAGGGTCTGAGATGGACTCGCAAGTGCCTCTGTGTGCTTACCAGCCTTCCAAAGATGTAGTAGAAGGCCATGAGGCTCCTGGAACAGACACGGTGGACAAAGCAAATAGCAGGAGTTTCATGATTAGTCAGTTACCTCTGAAATTTCACAGGGACACAGATGCCCCTTAACACAGTGTCAGGGCTGGGGAAATGGACTCTTGTTACAACGGGCAGTAAGGAGGTCCAGCCTCTGCTCGAGGAGGGAGAGATTGTGTTTATCCTGAAGAGTGAGTGGTTCTGGTCTCTTCTCCAGAGGGAGACCCACCTCAGCAGGTTGTTCAAGGTTCTTTCTTATTCTAATACCTGAGCACAATACAGCAAGGCAACAGCAGGGTGGCTGTGTTGGCAAGACTCACAGAAACTGATGGGTCTGTAGAGAGGGTCTCTCCAGAAACCTTTTCATGTTCCATGTTCGACCTTTCTTGTTCTAATGCAGGAATTATTTACCCTAGAATTTCTCTTGTATTTCAAATCTCCTGGCTTATCTTTTGAGTAGAAATAAACCCAAATGATTGCAAATATGATTATTAATATTTTGTTATTGAGGGAATGATAATATTGTCACATGACTACCCAAGTCGGATTGGTACCCAGGATACTATTCCCAGAATACACTGTTAAGTGAGTGTATTCTAAGAAATATAAATTTGACTAATTCAAAAACTAAAAATCAATAACACACTGAAAAATATTTATTTATTTTTATTGGAAAGGCAGATTCACAGAGAGAAAGAAAGATAAAGATCTTCCATCTGCTGATTCACTCCTCAAATGGCTGCAATGGCTAGAGCTTACTTAGCTCATTTAAAGTCAGGAGCTTCTTCCAGGTCTCCCCATGGGTGCAGGTTCCAAAGACCTTGGGCTGTCCTCCGCTTCTTTCCCAAGCCATAAGCAGGAAGCTAGATGGGTAGTGAAGCAGCCAGGACACGAATCAGAGCCCATATGGGATGTCAGCATTTGGAGGTGGAGGATTAGCCAGTTAAGCCAATGTGCCAGCCCCTCAATACTTTTTTTTTAAGATTTATTTGTTTTTATTGGAAAGATAGATTTACAGAGAGAAGAAAACAGAGAGAAAGATTGTCCATCCACTGGTTCACTCTCCAAATGGCTGCGATAGCCACAGCTGAGCTGGTCTAAAACAAGGAGATTCTTCTGGGTCTCCCATACAGGTGCAGGGTGCCAAGGCCTTGGGGCATCCATTGCTGCTTTTCCAAGCCACAAACAGGGAGCTGGATGGGAAGTGGAGCTGCTGGGATTAGAACCGGTGCCCCTATGGTATACTGCCTTAGCCACTAAGCCATCACAGTGGGCCCCCTCAATAGTATTTTCAATGGAATACCCATATATGAGGTCAGAAATTTGCTTGAGTTTGATACAATTTAATCAAGCAACTCCAAAGAATAAATGTAACTAACTGATGTTAAGGGAGGTAATGATATAGAACTTTAATAGTTTGATTGTATAAAGAATTCCAAAGGTTCATAATGTGTTGTATTATCCCATTTTATTTTAATCGTGAACAACACAGATGTGATTCTATAATCATCAGCGCATGAGCTATTATGATACTGTGAACTCTAGCTTAGAAGAACACATGGTCATGATAAGATTCTGAATTCAATTAAATCTCAAGTGAGTGTTGGGGCAACTGACCGTGGCGACTGTAAGAACTGAATATAGCAATTCTGTTTTTACCATCTTTTAATACTTTCATATTTTACCATCTTTCTGAAAGATTAATTCCAATGTTAGAAAAGAGAGGTAAATAAAACGAGGACATTATCCAGGTCCCTCTGGGTATCTTGCTTTTGGGACAAGGGTCTGGCCATAGGACACCCACATCAGAGTTCCCACTTCCAGTGCCTGACCCCTCCCTCATTCCAGTTCCCTGCTAGTGGAGCCACCTGAGGCCACAGTGACAGCACAAGGAATTGTGTCCTTGCTGTCCGCATGGGATACCTGGGTCAAGTGCCTAGTTCACTTCTTCAGTTCCCTGTTTCCTAGGGCTCACACCTGTCTCTCAGTGTTGGTTTAAAGCACACATCTTAAAAATGCATAATTTAGACTCATAGAAAAATATTATTTTGCATGTACAGAATACACAAGCCTAAGTGACACCTAACCACCCTCCTGGACATGGTATATTTCCAGTACCGAGCTGGGGCACCATTTCATTTCTCAGACTGTTCCGGTCTTGCCTCATTTTTTTGCCCATGGTGTGGTGCTAAGGATGAAGTATTCCACGTAGTGGTCTGCTTGGCAGGTCCTCGTGTGTCTGCGACCTTGCTGTTGATAACTGACATTGCACGAGAATTCCTGGGTGGCTATAGCAGCGAGGTTTGCGAGCAGTGCCTCCTTGCACCCGCACACATGCGTCTTTTTTTTTTTTTCCCCTCTAAAGACTGCGTGGCGATCTTGGAGAAAGTCAGAGATGAAATAACAGATTGTCTTCAAACGCTGCAGTCCAGCTCTGAATTTTACTGGCACGTACATATTCCACTGTTTATCTCACCAAGTGAAATCTGTTTCTCTCCCGCCCGTGCAGAACGTGAAGGATGACGGACAGCACGTGTGGCGACTGAAACACTTCAACAAACCTGCCTACTGCAACCTCTGCCTGAATATGCTGATCGGCGTGGGCAAGCAGGGCCTCTCCTGTTCCTGTGAGTACCTCCGCTCGCCCAGCTGCTCAGCCTGCCGTGAGGGAGAGTTCTGGTTGGCAGGTGGAGGCCTGGGAACTAAGAACAGGTGGAGGCCTGGGAACTAAGAACAGGTGGAAGACAGGCCCTCCGTGCACCTGCGTTGTGTATTTCTCTGTTGCCTCCAGTGGTATAAGCCACCAGCACTCAGCTGGGCAAACCCTTTCCTTGGGAATGAAGGAAGTTCATCTTCCAGTCCGTGGCCTTTATTTCCCCTTGAGAGTTTCTCCATGATTCTCTCTCCTTCCGGGATGGTTTTGAGAATTCCACATTTGTATTTTGTATGCGTTTGGTTTTGGGGCATTTTTTTTCTATTTTAGCCACATTTTTTCCCCCAATTTATTATGTTGCATTATGTGATACAGCTTTTTAGGTACTGGAATCCCCGCCCCCCCAATCCTCTCCCAATCCTCCCCTCATGGTGGATTCCTCAACCTTGTTGCGTATCCACAGTTCAAGTTCAGTTGAGATTCCTTCCCTGTAAGCATACACCTAGCACAGAGTCTAGAATCTCATCTTCCAGATAAGTTCAACAGCTTCTTGGGGAGACCCTCTCTGGTCCAAAGTTAGAGCCAACAAAGTAAAATCCCAGTCAGTTACAAGCCCAAACATAACATCAGCAACAATATACAATTTTGTGGAACTTTATTCACAAGGAGTCCTTATAATGGATGTTTCTTCAAGTTTGTTTCAGTTACACTGATTCGTTAAAAATAGATTTGCATTCAAATTAAAAAGTCACAGGGAATAAAAACTCATTTCAAACATGTTGTTTGGAATGCTACTACATGGACCATCTTGTTGTTGATGTTAAGTTGGGGCTTTTAATTAATCAGGATGATATTCTGCCAGCTCTGCCTTCAGACCAGAGATGATCTCCCCAAGAAACCATTGAATGTATCTGGACAATTAGATGCTGGACTCTTTGCTTGGTATATGCTTGCAATGAAAGAATCTTGACTGAATTTGAACTGTAATACTGCAACAAGGTGGGGGAACCCACCATGGGGGGAGGGAAAGGGTTGGGAGAATCCCAGAGTCTATGAAACTGTGTCACATAATACAATATAATTAATAATAAAAAAAAAGATTTTGTCAACGGATGTTAGAATCCAAGGCATTGGTGGCTCAAAACATGCGCTCGTTTCTAAAATTATACTTCACTTATCTTCGCAAATTTCATGTGATTCCATGAAGGCACCATTGCCAGCTAGAGCTTTTTAATTGTGCAGGTAATGGTATGCTAATAAAAGCCCTGAAGTATTCTGAAACCTCAGTTTCTGACAAAAATTCCTGGATGTCCATCTATAGCACAGTAGATCGTGTATTCTCAGCTTCGTGAGTTTGAAGTCCCTGGATTAAAGGCATACACTTCACCACACACTCTTTCCTGCTATCTCTGTGACTGCGTACATTTCATTGAAGCTAATCTGTTTCCCTGACTTCCATGCAATACATGATGTCCAGAGTATGTTTAACCTAGCAGCTCCTTTAATTGTATGTCTGGGGACTTAGTTTTCTTCAGATGTAATCTTTGACTTCAAAATCCGTGGTTTAATGCCACGTGTACGTGCCTTCTTCAATATTGAAATATGTTTTAATGAAATTTTCTGGTCCCATTCGCGGACAATTTCTAATTTCACTTTGAAGAAGTTATACTAATACATTCTGTGTGTACAAAGAAAGTGGTTTTATTTTTCCAGTGGTTTCTTACTTTTAAGGGAAGACATTTTTTTTTCACAGCATAGCCCATTAGCAGTAGTCAGAAACATGTAACTGTAAGGAAGTGATAAGGAGCAGAAATTGTGCTTATACAATTTTGTTAACTAGACTGATGGATGCAGTACTCCTAACGTTATAGCTCAGTATGGAAGAGATGGAATATTATGCTTGCTCCCTCCACAATGCAGAAAGATATCTCACAGGTGAACGTGTTTTAAAGTCTTTTCCTCAAACCATGTGAGGTAGATTTCAGATTTTCAGTATAATCTCAAGCAGTGGCTAGATTCTCTTTTCGTTTAAAGCACTACATGACTCCATTTCTTTTAAATGTTACTGTATAAATTATTCATTTGTGCCAGCGTCTTGTTTACAAAGATTGCACCTCGTTACGATGCTGGTTGTATTCATACCCCAAGTATGAAAATCAAGATGCCAAAAAAAAAAAATCAGACTTGGTTGTATGACCCACAATAACACATGTGTGTTTTTATGCTCAAAACTGAAATCCTCTTACACCAAGCATTACCAAGGAGTTCATATAGAGTGCATATTTAATAATATGTATGTGGATATCAAATTTCTGTCCCCCGGTCAGTTTATTTTTGCACCATATTTTCTGTGAGCTCTTGGAAGTACCTTTTTAAAATGTTATGGATACGCACACATTCACCTGGGCTAACATATGTGTCTGTCTACATGATGAGAAATGTCTACATGAACGCTTGCGTGTAAACTTACATTTTGCTCACAATCTACTTTGTGCTAAGTGACTAAGATTTTGGACAATGCCACGATGGAAACAAAATCCTGAATGTCTACTGACGGCCGGGCACGTACGATGAAATCTACTCCCCTGCAAAAAGACTCAATCAGTCATTTCAGGCTCAGATAAATCAATAGACAAAACAACATAAACTCATGAGCTTCTGTCCCCATGCCGACCAGCTGCTCTCATGTCTACACTTTATAAAATATAGATCTCTTTCTTCTAGCAAATGACACCAAGCCATTTGGCGTCATCAATTTGTCTTTAATATTTTTGTCATCTGGGAATTATTGTGAAAAATCTGAGTGAGGACTGATTTAATTAAGCATTTCCTGCTAAGCCATGATCGAGGAGACTTGGGTTTTTCACATGCTTAATATTTCCTGTACTAATTGGCCTTTTGTATTCCATGCTAGAAATAGTCGGCTTGGACTTTTCCTTGATGTAGCTGATTGGATTGATTAGAGAGCAGTGGATATGAAATGAGGTTCTGTTAATGTCATTCTTTCCTCATAAAATTTCCATCAGGACCCAGATTAGCTCTGAGTCTGTGTACCTGTTTCCTTTCAGTCTGCAAGTACACTGTTCATGAGCGCTGTGTGGCCCGTGCACCACCTTCCTGCATCAAGACCTACGTCAAGTCCAAAAAGAACACAGATGTGAGTTGGGGCAGGGTGGGGGGATGGGGAGGGGGTTTTGCTGCTTTTTCAGCCAGGGTGGCAATTGTTGGCGCCTTCTGCTGACCCTGGCCTGTGTTTCTCCTCTAGGTCATGCACCATTACTGGGTGGAAGGCAACTGCCCAACCAAATGTGACAAGTGCCACAAAACCGTCAAATGCTACCAGGGCCTCACAGGGCTGCACTGTGTCTGGTGCCAGATCACAGTGAGTAGCAATGGAAACAAACCCCAGCCTCCATCCCCCTTGACTGCTGTGTCTCCCACATCCCCGTTGTCCTGCCCTTCTGCCAGGTCTTCCTGAGCATCAGGATAAGCTTGACACTCCCAGAGTCAGAGACTGCCCAGAAAACCAAGTCTCAAGGCTCATGTCACTCCGGAGACACATCAGCATCAGAGTTTTCAAATTGGGCTCTGGGGTACACAGAATGTACCCAAAAAGTCAAACCACTAAGACCAATAAAGAGTGATGCACATAGCCTCGTGGTCAGGTAGACCACGAAATGAGTTCGTATTATAGGCCTTGGAGCTTCTGAAAATGCAGTCTATGGGGCATTCTAGATGGCAGGACATGGAATATAGAGACACATGGGAATTGCACATGGTATTGGCAATTAAGAAGCAGATAAATGTGTGTTGGGAAGCTTTGAGACCCCATTGATTAGAATGGTTGTCAAAAGTGCTTTGAAATTACTCAAATACAGTCTATTGTTATTTGCTGGTATTTTGAGTAACATCTGGAGTTTAATCAGAATGCACCATTTTTAACAGCATTATTCCATAAACGTAGTATAAAGACATTTGTGGAACTGGACATCTTTTATTTTTCCATGACAGTGTTGAAGCACTTTCGTTTTTGCTACAATAACATGCTTGCTTTGGTGTGAATAAAACAAAAAGGAACATCCAATCAGTTAAATTAAATATATTTCTCAATGTACCCTCCAGATCTTACAATTTTTACAGCATGTTTACACATAAAATAATGAGAAAATCAAATCTTGACTTACATTTAAAAACAATAAAGAACTTTTTTTTTCCAAGTGAGCATATTTTTTTTTCTGGTGTGTTTAGCTACTGCTAAATTAAACTCTATTCACATTTGAACATTTCTTAATTATGACTTTCTTTTACTTTTGAAATGTTTGGCCAAAATATAATATGTGCAATGTAATGAAATGTCTAGCTTACTTAAATCATACACGTTTTTCTCAATCGCAGAATTCTGAGCTGTCAACAAGAACACAACTATTCCGTTTTTGTTATTCGTTTTTGAAGAATTATTCCTGTTTAAAACCTAGGGTTATTTTGCTGTTTAACTGCCAACATGCCTTGTTTCTGATTCAGATCCTTGGGAACCTGTTCTTTGTATCCACACAGCGTGTCTGTGCTAGGCTTGCTTTAGCCTTAACACAAATGCAAAACAAGACATCAAAATTTATGCATGATTCCTATTTCTGATTATTGTCCCATTCCTCAATTTGAAACACAATGTCTTAGGTTTTACTGTTACTAATTTAGTTCTTCTTTATTTCTTAAACAAAATTAGTGATATTAAATGCATAATCAACTTGAACATGTTAGAAAAAAAAGCCTTCTGCCTCTCTTATAGTTAATGTGTGGAACTTCTAGAGTGTTCCAAGTGCTTCTTTCTCTCTTCTCTGCCTTGATTCTCCTTGAAGTCCATCTCCTGCCTTCCATGCTCCTGAGACCACTCACTTCCACGTTACCATGGTTACTGGTCTCTTACTGATAACCCAACCCTCTTGAAATTCTTCCAATCCTTGTTTTATGTTCCATTTCATGCTGTTAATTCCATTTGCTTGGTTCCTCTTCTCAGTGACTCCCAAACCTACCTCTAATCCAGAAGCTCTCCGGATAGGGATTTGTTTGTTTGGCCCTCACTCTGTCCTTGCGTGGAATGAGGTCTCTTCTTTCACAAGCAAGAGGACTTCACCTAGCATTGTTTGAAATTCTTTCTAGAGGTTTTATGCCCTCACTAGTTCAAGCCTAAGTCCATAACACTTTATTCCCATACCAAAAAATCAGAGAATACAGGAAGGCCAATCTAGTTGATGCTGTGACAGAACCCAGCATAAACTGGAAGTATCGTGAAATCCCAAAGTTCAAAGCCAACTAGGAAATAAATCCCAAGTTCTGGGAAAGAAAGGGAACTGGGGAGCCCCAGGGGGGTAATGCAGAGTCAGGAGGGGGAGTGAGGGGGGAATCACATTTTTCCTCCTCATCCCTCCCAGCTCCAAGGTTTCTGGCCAAGCTCAGCCTTCCTTTCTGTCAGTCGGGATCTCCAGGGGTCCCACAAGCATTAAGCTATTGAAAGGTGACTTGCACAATTAACAAAAATATGTCACCTCTAGAGAAATAGACTGGCATCTCTAAAGTGACGGCAGCCTCTTTGTAATTCTTGATTTTTAACTTTAATCAACTGTGGGACCTATTTATTCCTTGATTGAATTTCTGCCTAAGTTAACCAGAGCATATGAACTCAGTAGCATTATAATTGGGTTATTGAAAGTGTATTTCTTGAGTCATTATATGCAAATGTGAATCAAAGCGGATGTGCTTTGATTAAAGTCCACATACCCCCAAGCAATGACCTCTATACAACTGAACCTGCTTGCATGGGTCCATCTACTTCTCAGCGAGAGCCATTTGCCTAGCCATGAGTCAGCAGCCATCAGGAGAGGGATGGGGTAAGAGGATGCAGTGTCAGCAAGAAGAAGGTCTCCATTGAGTGGATTCTGTGAGAGTTCCATTGCAGAGAAATGGAATGAACCCCATTTTGCTTCAGAGTTTTCAAACACTGTGATTTCCGTGTGTATTGGACTTTTGACACTACCCTTCATCTTCCATGCTGACCAATCAGCATCTTAACAAGATGTCTACCATGCAATGGCTGTCTCATCTTCAGACATGCATTTAGCCACTTTGGGCCAGTGGAGTTATTGATGCCCATGTTATAGGGTAGGTGGGAGAAAAATCCAGAGCTTTATGTGTAGCTTGGTTCTCAGTAAAAAGCAGGACCTCATCTGCTTGAGCCATGACTGCTACCTTTCAGGGATGTATGTTAGCAGAAAGCTGGAGTAAGAATCCAGACTTGGAGCTTGAATCCAGTCACTCCAATGTGGACATCTTAAGCTGGCAGATTTACTGGCTGAACACCTCAATAGTTTTCTCTTTAAAATTTCAAAAGCAGGCATAATATTTCATAGTGGTATTGGATTATGGCACAGCACGTTAAGCTTCAGTTTGCAGTGTGCACACTGCATATCACAGCTCCTGCTGGCTGTTCTGCTCCTGTTAGCTTCCTGATAACGCACCTGGGAAGGCAGACGTTTAAGCTCCTGCCACCCACATGCGAGCCCTGCATTGAGTTTCTGGCTGCTGACCTTAGCCTCAGTGTGGCTATTGTGGTCATTTGGGGAGTGAACCAACGAATGGAAGATCTCTCTTTTTTTCTCTCCATGTCTCCTTGTCATTCTGTCTTTAAAATAATGACAAAAATAATATTTTTAAAAAATTAAAAACTTGAAGAAATGCTGTATAGTTGCACAAAACCAACTGACATTGCCCAGAGAGTATTCTATGAATAGTGTTGTCTTCTTTTTGTCATCCTCAGAAGAATCAGCAGGTGCCTGGGCCATGACAGAACATCACCCGAAAGGCCTGGATACATCTAGGATCATGTGTTCAGAATCCCACAAAATTTCAAGTCAGAGGGATTGCTTCTTACTCACCAAAGTTGATTTATATTCAGAAATAGCTATTACTTTAACTCTCTCATTCCATCAGACCCTGCGTCTCCAGTCTTCCAACCACTGGAAATAGAAGTGAATTTCCTTTTCCTTGTCTTGCACCTTCATCTTATGTGCAGCCCACCACCGAGCCTTGACATCCCCTCCCCTCCTCTCTTCCTTCTGAGCTTTTCCTCCACATTCGCAGCCTCGTGCAAGCGCTTAGCACCCCTTGACTAGATTAGAGTTGCAATCTTTTGGCTTACCTCCTTAACAGAAGGTACTTTTCCTATGATGCAGCCTGCGTTCCACCTCCAGAATCCTCTTCTGAAAATACTAGTTTGTTATCATATGCCTTCTTCAGCAACCTGTGAGAGTTCTGTAACAATAAATGCGACCTCAAAGTTCCTAAATTCAGATCTCCTTCACAAATCAGCCCCAGACCTGAGTCTTGGACACTCAGATTCCCCCTTAGGGCATAGCCATCGCCTTGGCTGTGTGCACCTGTTGTCAGCCCTTTGAGAAAACCACGCTATCCACTGCCTCTTATTTTTACCAATTCTCTGGCTTTGAATGCATCCATCTAAAATCCCATCTACATCTCAGGGATCAGGCTAAGTCCTTTCCATTCCCTACATGAGTCCTTTTGAATTGTTTCCACTCCCCCCACTTCCACTGCGAGAGGAAAGACTGAAATGCCCTCCGTGGCTCTGCGGAATGGTCTGACTGCACCCTGCTCCAGCTGTCACTGCCCAACACACATTTTGCTGTCATCTTTGCAAAACACTGGCTGTAGTACCACACCCACAGGGTTTACTGTAACGGCAGATGCATCATTCTCCTTACTAGTACATAGGACAGTTCAAACTTGTTAACAAAGATCCTGCAACTAATACTACAGATCTATGTCAGATCAACAAGTGAGTGTAAACAATTTCACAAAGGTAAAAACCTGGTTTCTTCACATCCATTTTTCAGCCAGTCCCTTGTACTTCTTAGCATTGTACTTCTTTGTCTTGATACAGATATAAAGACAGGTTTTTGTTTTTTTTTTTGAATGCACTTTTACCTCCGTTTGTCAATCTAAGCACTGAAAAAAATAGAAGTAGGCTGTGTCTGTGCAGAATAACGAAAAACTGTCTCCCACTCTTCCGTTTTCGGTGCTTTATATTTCAGTCCTTGGATCCAGGGGCTTGTTCCTCCCTGGCATCTCTCGCTTACCGGCTGCCATTCTCAGGATCCCACTGCTTACACCTGTTCATTGCTGCCGGGAGCGTGTCCTTGGCATTCTGTGCTGAGCTGAGCATTGCTCCTGGTCAAATGAACCATCCAAGATCAGGCAGGACTTCCCAGAATCTGAGGATGATAGATTTTATGTGGACTAAATCAAAGTGCTTATTTCAAACTGTAAATTATTAATTTTTGTTAGCATATGGGATTAGTTTACTCCCATCCGTAATGTTGAAGTGCCCGGTGCCATATAAAAAGTTTGTTCTTGGGCAAAGGCCAGAATTTAGGAAGCAGCCTGAAATTACAAACTAGGTTTGTTAGGTCCAAGCAAATGTCTCAATCCACAATCATTCCTTCTAGCCACACCACCGATTTTTTTTTCCCTGGGAACAGCAATTCCCGTCTCTTTCATACCTTCAATTCCTATGAAAATCTGGTGTATCTTTTCCTCTCTCACTGTGTATTCTGCTGTGTTCTCTGATGATGCACTCACTCTTCGCTCAACTTCCTCCGTGAGTGCGTCGGCACATGTACTTACACACTTCCTTTTTCTATCTAATTTCAGACAACATCTTCCAATAAACATAGATCTGGATCTAAATTAGGTACCAGTGAAAGTATCATGAGCTCTGAAACGATTTCCAAGAATTTCATTCACCTCCAGGAAACGCGGTGTGAGGTCACATGAGATTCTTGGCTGAAAGGCTACATTGCTTTCAACAAAGCAAACTTTCTCAATACATTTAAAGAATGATGATTTGAGTGTGTCTAAAGGTTATCTTTTAAAACATGCCAAGAAAACGGAGAGAAAACTTTGTTTTATTTATTTATGAGATAGGACCAGTGTGCAAGAGAGAGTACCTCTCCATTCCTTCTCATCCCGAGTACAGGCAACTACAATGGCTGAGTTGACCTGGATGACAGGGACTCAATCCAAGCTTCCCACATGAATGTCAGGGACTCAGCTACCTAAGCCAACACTCCCAGGATACGCATGAGAAGAAAACAATCAGGAGCCAGACCTTGACGTTGACCCTAGTCACTCCAATGTAAGTGTCTTAACCTGTAGCTTAAGCACTGGCCAAATACGGGCTCAACTTTGTATCTACAATCTCAGTAACACTCGGCAATTCCTCTTCCCTCATGTGCTGCAGGGTTTTGTTTTGTTGTCATTTGTTATTTTCTTTTTTTTTTTTTTCCTCTTTGTAGGCACGTTCATCAATGTGTACTTCGTTTCTGTTTCTCTTCTGGATGAGGGTTCAGAGGTTTGGGTTTTTTGCTGCTTGTCCTTAGAACAGCTGGTCTCCATTCCATATCTTATTGATGCTGAGGAGGGTCTTTCCGCATCTTGTCGCTGTGACAAGCTTCAGCACCTTGCTGTTGGGGATGATGCTCAAACACGGAGATGGGTGGCTGCTCTGTCTCCGGTTCACAGCAAAGAGGATGTTCACAGGCCTGCTTGGTAGATCCTGAGAATTCTCTAGACTCTGACGACTACAGGGAACACGTGACACACAGCCACAGTGGATCGATGCAGCCAATGTGGTACCCTCAGCTTCCACACCTCTGACAGATGACACAAAGTGCTTCCCAGCTGCCTCACTGCAGTCTAAAACATAAGCATCCCTGTATGTTGCTGGTGAATACCGACCTCTTGGATAGAATCTTTTTGCACAATGTTATCTGGTTTCACTGATTCTCTCACAATCCCTGCTACATGATTGCTTTTCTGCAGGGATGGCTCAGAGTTGCCCAAACAAAACTCAGGGATGTGGTCAGAGTGGCAACAACTGGAGAACCCATTTGGCTTTCAAGGCAAGAACTTACACTTTGGAAATCCTGACCCCACTGTGTGAAGAATATCCCCCTCACACACTCTTGTCAGCCCTCAACTGCATGGCTGACTCTGTCTTTCTGTTGGCTGCACAAAGAGCTCAAATGCCAAAAACATGTGGTTGAATCTGTCGTGTTGTTGCCATCTCCTCTTTGGTCTGGTAGCTCTCCAATACCTCTGTTTGTAGAGATGTTAGTGCCCCCTTTCCTATCAGTAGCAAATTTGGGGGAACTCTTGGGGTGAAGGAGTGCTGGAGGCAGAGACCCAGGGACTGGGCATCTTGAGCATTCAGTGGCCTCCTGTGCCAACCTTCGGTCACTTGGCATTGAGGCCAAGACTAATGGACTAATGATTCTATTGTACATTTGTTATAGAAATTAATACAACTCAGGCCCTCAAGTAGGACAGTTTTCAGTTCGAAACTGAAAAAAAGCAGTGTGGCTCTTTTTATTTGCAACAGGACATGTTATTTCTTAATGTATAATATTTTTCTATACAGTGAATGTTGCAAGTTGAACTGGTAAGGAGAAAGGGAAGTAGTTATACTCTACTTCATCACTTTAACTTAAACTCACGACCAAGACTGACAAAACACCAGTTTAGTTTCACCTATATTGAAAAACTCATAGCTCAATCTGTGATGATGCAAGAAGCTCATAAATACAATATAAAGATAAAATTTTATCATCGTAATCATCTTCTTTTATTTATATCCTGCTCCTACTGAGATGAATCTCGGGTTACATTTACATACTGAATTACAAAGTTAAAACTAATGATGGGATCAATTATGCCCCATACTGAGCTGTGCACTTTGCAATGACTTTGAGAAAACAGAAGGGTCAAAAAAAAAAAAAAAGGCATCCACAGGGCTGCGTCTCCAGATTCTGCTGACAGACAGGCAGATAGAAGCCTGTAGCAGGCAAGGACTCAGGTTAGCCCAAGAAATTGTGGTTTTTCCATCTAAAACATAAAGTGTGTTTCTAGTGTAAGCAGTTGAGTTGCATGGACAACATGGAGGCTTGGTCGCAGAAATTGAGACAGGGTGAGTTTGGGTGGTGATGTAAAGGTAAACGGAGTGACTCCCTTTGGCATCCCAGTATCCTCCTGGGCATCCCCTAGTGCGTGGGCAGTGTGCGTCCTGTTGCTGCCCTGCTGAGTCTGACACCATCGTCCCTCTTTTCCAGCTGCATAACAAGTGCGCGTCTCACCTCAAGCCAGAGTGTGACTGCGGCCCTCTGAAGGATCACATCTTACCTCCCACGACCATTTGCCCCGTGGTGCTGGTGAGTGCCCCCTCCTCCCTGGAGTGCTACACCCCTCGGGGCTGCAGGCCACGCCCCCGGCCCGCCGGCCACGCCTCTAAGGGCTGCAGGCCACGCCCATCACGGGGAGGGCAACGCCCCCTCGTTTCACAGGCCACGCCCCTGGGCTGCGTCATGCCCCTCTGGGCTCCTGGCAGTGCTCCTCAGGACTGCCCACTGAGTGGCCTCTGCCATCCTTGTCCCAGCATCTTCCAGCCAGGTGGGCGCTCCTGAAGCTGGCACAGGCTGTGTCACCGAGCCAATCACTGTTTTTCTCTTTGGCAGCTTTGTTGGATATGCAGATTATATAGCTGCAGGGCTGAGGTCTGTCATGCAGGTTACGGCAACTTAAAATGATGACATGACCTTTGGGAGAAAAACAACAACCTTTAGTCGTTTTTTGTCTGTTTTTTCTTTAATTGAGCAATCAATTTGCCTTCGAAATAAATACTCAATTCAGTAACTTACAATAGGCATAGAAGTGAAAAATACACAAGTAATATAACCCTGGAAATAATAAAAGCAAGCATCCAAAGAACATACTTAAAATCTAAATTGTCTCTGAAGTGAACGTTTTTATGCAAGACTGTTTTATATCCGTAAAGCACTTTTCATTTGTAAAATCAACATGCAAATAAAATACTTGTAAGCTTAGTCTGAAAGAATGAAAATAGAACATCTAAGAAATGTTAGACAAATACGTTTCTAAAGGTCATCCTAGAAATTAATCAAACTACTCGATTTACACCCACTTACGATTCATTTTATAGTTATCTGTTAAATACTGCTTGTTTTCAAAAATGCCTGTATCTAGCAAAATTGTTAACAGCTCTTCCTTTCTGTACTGCAGAAATACAGAACAAAATTATTCCTCTGTATTGCTGAGGAACAACAACAGATCCTAAATTCCCTTTAAGACGCATTAGACATCTGGTAGTAAATACAATTAATTAAAACTAATGAGCACCATATTAAAAGATGTTACATTTTAGATGGATTTTGTGTCATCTTATTCTTTCTGGAGTGTGGACTGAAAGAAGAAGGACTTACAGAGTTTCCGCATTCTTGATTCTTCTTTAAATGTGTAGTATGTCATAGTTAGCTTGCAAGTTTGGTCTCATATTTTACTCGAAAAAGGAATGTGTTTCAGCATCCCGCCCCCCACCACCATGGCAGAATCCCTTGCACATTCAGGCAGTTGGGAGACTCCTTCCTTGAGCCCCATATGACAGCCCTGGTCACGTGAGGTCAAACAGGAAGTAGATTATTTCAATTGCCCTGTCACTTCTCTCGAGAGAAACAAAGGCAAAGAAAGTATGTTGTCTGAATAGTCTTTTCTTCCAAAATCTTGCCAACTCATTGCTATTCAGACACTTGCTTCTGAAGGCTTCAATTGTTAGATACTGCCACACCTCTAGGATTTGGTTGTTGGTTTTTGCTGCCTTGCCATTCTGTGGTAATATCAACACTTGCTATGCACAAATGCCTGCTCTTCTTGTCCAATGGCTCTTTCTCTGGGTGCTTCCTCCAGTTTGGTTCTCTTGTCGGTGTGTCACTGAATTCTACCCCTACATGTCACAACTAACACACTTAACGTTCCTTTCCATTAGGATTTTGTTTATTTAGTTCATTCATTACTATGCTAGTTCATTTTCAAGTTGTCCTTCTATTCTGAATCCAAGCTCTGCAAAGATGCAACCTAGAGGTCCTAACTATTATTATCAAAATGCTTGCAGTAGCTTTTCTTTAATTAAAAAACAGGAGATACCAGGTACTATGCAAAGGTATTAGCAATGCATTCAGTAAGTAATATCCACTGTCTAGTTTGTGTCAAATAGTCTACAGGATGAGAGGTAAAGAAATGCAAGAACTATTCTTCGTTGTTGTAGAGTTTATCTCCCAGTGAGGTAAAGGCAGCCAACCAAGTGTCCAATAGGGGAATTGCTTAGTACATGAGTCTTTGAAATGCATGCATGGCTCAGGGCAGGTGCAAGAAGTTGGAGCATGAAGGAAAAGTTCTGCGGCAGCCACCTGGGAAAAAGGAAGCTGCCTTGATCAAAGAATACAGGATGATTGCAAATAAGAAGAGAGGATCCATTCTAGACAGCCAACACATGGGTGGTACAAGGTCGGGAAATGAACCAGTGGATGGGAGCTCAGTCTTTCCTCCTCCTCTCAGCTTGACTGCAATAGTTTTAATTTTTAAGAGAAATTTTATATAATTTTCTGCTTGGAATAAATAATATTTAGTTTGCTTGACTAATGGATCCACATACCATAGAACAATGACATCCGTCAACTGTTGAAACATTCATACTTTGAACAAATGAACAAAGTTGTTCTGCTCCAGAATGGTTGAGTGCACGCCAACTGGTAGGATGTGAGCTTTTGCAACATTTCAACTTTCAGCAACTTCCTGGGAATGATTCCACATGGTGTTATTAAAGTTTTAACCTCTTTCTAAAGGATCATTATTTCTCACTAATCATATTTTTCTTACCCTTCAATAGTTTTCTTATTGAAAAAAAAAAACCACTCCCACTTTTTGTTTAAATGTTCTCTAAGAAGAACAAGAACAATTGAAAATCAGTCAAATCAAGTCACCGAAATCTGGCAGTTACCTCCGCCACACCCTAGGAAGTGTGAAAGACAACACTTCCAATGTCTAGTTTTACGGAGTTTCTCTTTACCTTTGACTCTGCGGTCAGGGGCTGGTTACTGCAATACCATGGCATCCTTAATTCCAGGTTGACGCTCATCACTATGATTATAATGACGAGCCAAAGGTCAACTTCTGAATGTCTCAGAACATCTTTTTTGGCGCCATCCAAAATTCATGAGCGGGGAGGGGACTGGGACACGGCAGACCTGCACACCTGCAGCTCATGTCGGGATGTCAGTTCTGGTCCTGGCCGTTTTGTTTTAGATCCAAATTCCAGCTCACGTGCCTTACCAGGCAGAGGATATGGCCCAGGATAGATTTACTGGCTACTGGCCTTGGCCTGATCAAAACCTGCCTGCTGTAGGCATTTGGAGAATGAACCCACATATGGGGAAAATTCTCTCTCACTCTGCTTGTCTCAAATAGATGAAAATAAAATGTTACAAATAATGCATTTCCCCTCAGGCTTCCCATCATTACTGACACTTATTCTTCACTTCAAGATAACGATTCAGGCAATATAGCTCATTTTTTTTTAATTGGAAAGGCAGATATATACAGAGAAGAGAGACAGAGAGAAAGATCTTTCCTCTGATGATTCACTCCTCAAGCGGCCGCAATGATCAAAGCTGTGCCAATCCAAAGCCAGGAACCCAGAGCCTCTTCTGGATCTCCCATGCAGGTCCGGGTTCCCAAGGCTTTGTGCCATCCTTGACTGCTTTCCCAGGCCACCAGCAGGGAGCTGGATGGGAAGCGGAATAATCAGCATTAGAAGCAGTGACCATATGGGATCCCGGTATGTGCAAAGCGAGGACTTCAGCTGCTAGGCTACTACCCCAGGGTTAAAAAGCTCTTTTTTTATGAAAATCAGAAAAATAACATCTCCACTCACTGAATGGCAGATTTTCAAGTATGATTTCAAAAGCCTCCAGTGGGTGTTATTGCTTAACCTACAAATTAAGGTGAGAACTAAGACTCTAGACTCTCATATCTCACATTGGTTTAATTTCATTCAGTACACTAATCTTGGTTCCTGATCCCAGTACCCTGTTAGTTCAGGCTTTGCACGGGGGTGCACAAGGTTCAAGTATTGACACTCACCTGTGAATTTGACTTCTCAGTTCAGCCCAGCACTACTAGCCATCGTTGGAAGGTGGCATGTGAACCAGTAGACAAGAACTCTCTGTCTCACTTGCTCTGGAAAAAGTAAATACGCAAACAAATACATTTAAAAAAAATGCTTGCATTGGCTAAAATTCATTTGAGAAACAATTTGTATAAAATTCCCTGAACAGAACGAGGATGTAGCCACATAGTCAATGACTGATTGCGATTCCCATTGCCAATGAACTACTCCAGCTCCCTGTGGGAGATGTCTCAAATAATTGAGTTCCTACTGCCCAAATAGGAAAGCAAAATCAATTCCCAGCTCCTGCATCTACCCTGTCCTTGTCCTTGGGACATTTGGTGAATGAAGCAGAAGCATCACAGAAGAGTCTCTCTCTCTCTCATTCTGAAACCTTTGTATATATGTATATATGACTGATAGGTGTTTAAAACATTTACTGTGGGTTTTTTACCCATTAGCTCATATTGTAGCCATAATCCATTTGCTGCCGTGTCGAGGAGGATTCATAACTATTTACAAATGTTAGCTGTCTTCCAGGAATTATTCTGCCTACAAACAAAAGGATGATGAATCCTACATTTTGCAGCTATTCAATCTGGGTTTCAGATAAGCAACTTAATTTCTAAAAAAAAAAAAAAAAGCCACCAACTTGACTCTTCCCTAATAATAGTCATAGCACGTGCCAAGAATTCTTGACAAGAATTCATTAGGAACTACATTCTTAAAGTAATTTTTCTTAAAAAAAAGCAATGTATTCTTAGGTCATGCTACAATGACACTCATGACATCACTATGTCTACTCTCAGATGAAGTGATATTGCATAAAACTTACTCCCTTTTATGGGACATGGGCTGATTAGCATACAAGCTACCCACTCAAATGTGTTCCAAGGTTTTTCTTTTTACCCAAGATGAGTTGTCTGTTATTTTAACCCATGTGAGATCTGCGTTAAAATTCAGCATTGTCAGTATTTAAAAGATATTTGTCAACAATAATTATATGAAATCCTCTTGTAACCTTTCCCTAAAAGGTACCTGGAAGTGTTCTCCATTGTCCTTCAGAAATCGCCCCCCACCCCCAGCTCTGGGTCTCTAGGTCTGTAGCCTTTGGGGACAGATGAGCCATTATTTTCTGAGTTTACAAAGCTTAGAGCAAATCCATGCCCACATCTGACTGTGGTTCTGGTGCCC